ATGTATCGACATCAATCCAATGACAATATTTAACAATATATCATAAAATCAACCATGATATACATTCACTTTCCAAATGAATACTCATCCATCAATCCACAATATCGAACAATATTCATCATATATTCACAATATCGAAAAATATTATTACAAGTAACAACTACAACACTGAATTACCATTACTAATTAATGACATATAAAACACAACTGCTAATTGTTTAAGAAAACTTCATCTTCATCCTCTCCTTTTATGAAGCCTATCAAACACGTTCCATACATACAGCATGTTCTAGTGCATTTTCCCGCATCTCAAACTTGTTAGTAGAAAAAATAAGCTTCCCCCTTAGATTTATTAAGACCCGCATAAAAGACAAATATTAGAATAAAGAAAATTCCCCCTAAATTTCAATTAAAGAAAAAAATTCAAAACTATCAATGAAACATTCAAGTAACTAGATAATTTAAGTCTACACATGTACCTGTGATTTGCATGTACTGTACTGTAAACATACAAGTTTTTTTCACCTGACTGTTATCATAACAATATGTTTGCACTTTGAGAAGAATATTACATCTAGGGTTAAACATGATGTACATGATTCTAGCCTTAGATTAACTCATTATAAGTAGAATCAGGATACTAGTTTATGCAGAATCTCAAAATGAAGTTTGGAAAACAGAGATTGACTTATAGCAATGGGGAAATGCATAAGAAGGATGACCATGTCTGAGAATGACAGTAGAAGAGAGCTAAAACAAGCATTGACTCCCCAGCAAAATCTACTTACACGAAAGCCAAGCATCCAATTGCCTCTTGATATGATAGTCTCAATACACACTGGGCTTCCTGCAAAATATCTTCGAAAACTGAGATTCATATGTAAGTCATAGAATTCTCTGGGAATATCAGGCAACACTTGAGAACATGAGCTAAAGTGAACAAGCCAAATATTGTAACATTATCTTCTGAAGGCCAGCAGAAAGGTGCTTACTCCATTAAATTATCTGCTAAAGATGATCACAATTTTGATTCAAGAGGGGCTGTGAAAGGACCATACTACTCAATGTCAGTTTCATGTGATGTCTTAACATGTATTTTTAGTTGGGTTAGCATATATCTGGTGAATCCAAGCATGCACAAAGAGAATTCCCAAAGGGAATAGTGGATGATCCATTCAATGGCGGGGATGTCCATGGCCCACCTAGACATTCCACATGCACGAGCTAGATAACCCCAATTCAACAGATATTATGACAAAGTAAATTTTCAACCTGGTGAATAATTTAAAGTTGATGCTCAGGGGTGTCTATGTTAATTTTTTGTTAGCGTATATATGATATTAATAATATATGAGCTGCTTCTACTATTTGTAATTTAGTATTCAACAATGGAGCGATATAATCTATTACGAACAAGAAGATATATAACTGATAGTTCTCTCACCTTGAATAGAAAAGAATAAAACTTCAAGATTGCATGTCTAACACAATCGAGAATCTCAAAATCAAAGTTCAATCAATTATATATCATTTCTGAAAAAAAATAACAACAGAAAAAAGATAAATGTTTCAATAATTATATTAAAAGTGTGAATGAAGTAGAATATCATTTCTTTCTATAACATTTTCAGGTCTCACCTGCTCCAATCCCAGAAAATATTTTTAAGGCTAAACAATTCGATTGAGATGAAGATGTTCTGCTAAATCGTAAATAATTGTAATATACATGCAACTAAAAGCATATAGACGCACAGAACTATTCCCTTAATTAGTTTGAATCCTAACAGACCAAAAGGAGAACAAAAGTTCATGAATTCAGGGAGTTGTGTGAAATTTACTCTTTTAAACTTTCAAGTAGTTGTGTAGATTTCTCAATTTAAGGGAGCGTACAGATTGTATAAGTGGAGTTCTGGTCAGACCCGGAGCAACGCAATTGGTTCGAATATTATCCTTTGCCCATTCACAAGCTAGATTCTTCGTAAGCTGGTTCATTGCCCCTGCAAGAGGTAATATGTGGTGGCTGAAACAATCAGGTACTCTTTGCTCAGTATTTACTAAGAAACTGTACCTTTATATGCATAACAAGAGTGCAGAATATGGCGTAGCCCTGACGGCGGACACCGAAGACATCTGAACAATGCTACCAGCTCCTGACGCCTTGAGGAGAGGGTGGGCTAGTTGGCTGATGCTAAAACCAGACTCGAAGTTGGCGGACACCAGGGCCGAGTAATCTTCGATGGTGTAGCCTACGGCTGGATTCATGAGGAGTGTTCCTGCATTATTGATGCCGCGAATCGAAGAGATCGAAGCTGGGACCCGCCGCTGGGTCCACCGATGCTCTGGGGAGCCGCTAGGGTTTGAGAGAAGGAAGCAAGAGCGCCGACGAATCGATGGAGCAGGACAAGGATGCGGTGAATCGATGGAGGCAGTTGAGGAGAGAGAGCGCCACCAAAGATGAGGCGGAGGTGCGTTGGCCGTCGAAGATGAGGGGAAGGCGAAGATGAGGGAGGTGGAGGCGGATCAGAGAGCGTGCGGTCAGAATTTTTTGGGATGAAATATTTGGCGTTGGGTGAAAAATTGGGGATGAGGGGTTTGAGAGATTGGGGTTAGGGATTTTAGAGGGGGTGGGATTTTTGAATTTGGGGAAATTTTTTGGGGGAAGGAGGGTTAAAACAGAGAACTAAGAAAAAGATATGTTTTATTTGGGATATATTTAGAGCAATAAATTTTAGACTACATATTGAATATGTGATTATTTTATGTAGCTATAATTAAATATTCAATAGATTAATAAATTTTAAATTTTTTATTTATTATATTTTTTTTCAATTTAAAAATATTTTTAAACTCATTAATAGGATTAAAAAGCAAAAACAAATTAGAAGATAGTGGTTATCAATTTAAAAATATTTTTAAACTCATTAATAGGATTAAAAAGCAAAAACAAATTAGAAGATAGTGGTTAAGAAATATTTTCTTTTAGTTCGGTCATTAATAGGATTAAAAAGCAAAAACAAATTAGAAGATAGTGGTTAAGAAATATTTTCTTTTAGTTCGGAGAAAATGAAATAAACTAATAAAAAGTGATAAAGATATATAACATGTGATCAATTTTAAATATTTTATAGACAAACAAATCGAATATACATATGGTCAAATTCTAATTGTTAGCAATCTCGAATATTAAAAAAAATTGTTTAGTGCTAAATGAACTACCGAATTGAATGATTGAATAGTTATTTCGAACAATTATCTAACCAGAATCTAGTGACATGGTCTTCAAGTAAAAGTTTTGTAGAAATATCTGTAAATTGTTGATTAGTGGAGATAAAGTCAAACTAAATGGTAAAAAAACACGACATCATATATGTAAAATACAAATAATAACTAGTGATCAATTTTAAATGAATATTTGATAGACAAATGAATCGAATATAGATCTAGTCAAATTCTAATCGTTAGCAAACTCGAATACTAAAAAATAAATTCTAAAAATAAAAAATAAAAAAAATTTAAAACTAACATAGATTCTGCTAATATAAAGAATAGTAGAGCTCATCAAATCTACTAGCATAAAGAGTAAAGAGTAGTAGAGCTCATCAAATCTGCTAGCATAAAGAGTAAAAAATAAAATTTAAAACTAACATAGAACTCCTAATTAATTGAAAAGATCTATGATAAGTTTTGGTATATCATTAGCAAAATCAATATAGTTACATGTTCGTAATGCGTATAACTAAAAATGATATCTTCATTGGTCTCTCACCATTTTCTCATCATTTTTACTTTTCTCATCATTTTAAACGAATATTTAATAAACAAATGAATCAAATATACATCTAGTAAATTCTAATCGTTAGCAAACTTAAATGTGTTAAATAAACTACCGAATCGAATATGACTGAATAGTTATTTGAATAATTATCAAACTATTTGTTAATTATTTGGTTCATTTACATCCCTAGATGTGTTAGAAATTTACATAATTTCTTTGACTACTTTTAAAATATTATAGATTTGAGGGACTAATATTAAAATAATTCTTTAAGGTTGGGATTGTGGAGGCCACTCATTAACAATGTGATAATCAATCACTAATGTTATATTTTTTACGATGGGTACATTAGCATTGGCGACAGATCAAATCCGTCTCCAATACTTATTGGTAACTGATTTAATCCGTCGCCAATGGTTCCTGTCACCAATACTTATTGGCGACGGAATTTGGTCCGGGTGACGGATTGGATCCGTCGCTAATGTTTTCCCGTCGCCAATAAGTATTAGTGACGGGAAACATTAGCGACGAATCAAATCCGTCGCCAATACTTATTGGCGATGGAGTTTGGCGACGGAATTGGTTCGTCGCCAATGTTACCCATCGCCAATAAGTATTGGCGACGGGAAAGATTTGCGACGGATCAAATCCGTCGCCAATAAGTATTAGCGATGGATCAAATCCGTCGCCAATAAGTATTAGCGACTGATCAAATCCGTCGCCAATACGTATTGGCGACAGACCAAATCCGTCGCCAATGTTTTCTCATCGCCAATACGTATCGGCGACGGGAAAACATTGGTGACGGATCAAATCCGTTGCTAATGCAAACATTGGCGACGGGGCATTGGCGACGAGGTTGTTCCCGTCGCCAATACCCCATCGCCAATGCCTAGTTTTTTACTAGTAATGCTTCCTACTATGGCTCTAAGAAATGATAATACATGGCATGTGCATTGAGTAGACTATTTGTTAGTAGAATTTGATAGATTGTGGAAAAACTATAGTCTACCAGTTCAAGGCGCACATAATCACGTTGGTGAGCGCACGTGGCCGATTGGGCAAAGACTCAATTCAAGAAGGAGATGTGCCAATTGTTTGATGTGTCACTGAGCGCGTGAACCCAACTACCAACCGCTTGTACTTAACCTACAATTTGCAATTTTGATTATGTACATATTGTGAGCTTCCGACTTCTGATTTTACTTCTGACTTTTGACTTCTAATTTCGCTTCCGTTTTCTTTGTTAGCTTCCTTAAAATGAAAGATTACCCATAGCAAGGATTTTTACACGGAGTTTGCTATCTTATGAAGTTTTGGGTTTTTTTTTGTAATCCTCTAAAAGATAGTTCTCTAGAAAATATGTGTATTTGCTTTTTGTTTTTCCAAATCATGTTTTGTGACTTTAGGTATGTGTTTCGTGATTCTAGGAATGTCATAAGTTAGTTCATATCATAGACTTAGATAACATTTGGTGGTTGTCCCTGATCTTCCCATACACGAGGGATGAAAATAGCATATTATGGATATTTAGCAAATTATGTTGGACTATACTTTTTAAGCTCACTTGTGTGCAAGTCGAGACCCATTTCTATTATATTGTTGGTCAGATGTATATTATTAGTTGGTATACTAGTTCAATGAATTTTTATGTTTAACTAGTTTCAGGCCCGTGCTATGCACGGATTTGTTTAATATGAAAAAAATGATGTAGGAAAAGAATGCAAAATAAAACAGTAATAATATATAAATAGTCAGTAATGATACAACCTAAGCTGTATATATGTTTGACTTACTAATAAACTGTAAAAAAGAATCAAAATATAATTTCCCTATTATCATAAGAAAATAGATAAAATGTCTCATGTCTAAATGATTAATGTTATAATATTTTGCTATATACCAAGTAATTAGTATGCAACATAAAGTTTATTTTAAAACAAAATATTAAAAGCACATAGAAATACTTGACAAGTATCTATATCTATGAATCAATATAATGATAAACAAAATATCCAGCATAATCATATCAAGTAGTTTGGTTTCTCAACGTGAAACCACCAAAAAAATATCTAGTGCATACAAAAGTTTACTAAATAAGGTTTTAGATGGTTTCTCAACGTGAAACCACCAAAAAAATATCTAGTGCATACAAAAGTTTACTAAATAAGGTTTTAGACCACAATACTAAATATAAATTTGTGCATACAAAAGTTTACTAAATAAGGTTTTAGACCACAATACTAAATATAAATTTCATACATCATGAATTAGAAAGAGATTCTTCAAAAAGGAGCTTGAACTCTCTGTAGATTATTCTAATTCTCTTTTTTAATTTTGATCTGTTTTTGCTTTTTGTTGCTAGACATTTGCGGAGAAATCAAGTCTACTGAAATTGAGTGCTCGACATCTGATTCCAACAAATTTCTCTTGTAAGGAGTAATGTTATCCGTGGAATAAATTTCAACTTTATTATCACAAGTGACCGATAGCGAGGCCTGTGTTTCAGTATAACATAATAGTTAGCATGTTAATGAGGTCACAGGAAAAGATGGTTGTATAATTAATATAAAGAATCAAGAAATAAATAGTAAAGCGAAAAGAAATTGGCAATCAATAGTAAAGGCATGTTTATATTATCTATTTAGTTAGCATACTAATAAGATATAAGGAAAAGATTTTTACACTGTTAATGTGGAGAATCAAGAGAACAATAGTAAAACGCAATTAAAAGTGATAAAGGTGAAAGAAGCAACAACATCAAAAGAGTATTTGAAAAATAAGTATTGTTAAATATACAACAACAAAAAAGATAAATTTTCCTTATATCTATTAGTAAAAGTGTATTTGCTTTTTGTTTTTCCAACAAAAAAAATAAATTTTCCTTGAATCATTCCTTGAACTAGTATACCAACTAATAATATGTGTATTTGCTTTTTGTTTTTCCAAATCATGTTTTGTGACTTTAGGTATGTGTTTCGTGATTCTAGGAATGTCATAAGTTAATTAGTTCATATCATAGACTTAGATAACATTTGGTGGTTGTCCCTGATCTTCCCATACACGAGGGATGAAAATAGCATATTATGGATATTTAGCAAGTTATGTTGGACTATACTTTTTAAGCTCACTTGTGTGCGAGTCGAGACCCATTTCTATTATATTATTGGTCAGATGTATATTATTAGTTGGTATACTAGTTCAAGGAATTTTTATGTTTAATGTTGTTTGTTTACTAATTCGTTTGACTTTGCAATACATCCTCCTTGTGAGTACTGGATTTCATTTAGAATACCCTATTTACTCGAGTTATGAGATAAGTTAATATGTTTGGATTCACGACTCGAGATTCATCTTCTTTGAGCATTTGGTTAGTATCATCTAGACAAGTATCATGTGTCATGATTGTACGTTTCCTATGAGTTGAGATTTTCGGGGCTAATGGATAACATTTCATATACAGTAAATTACGAAAAAGTAATCTGATAGGTTTAATTTTAGGAGATTAAATGTATAAATTTTGGAAACTAAATCATTAGGGATAGGTGGGGCCATGTTTTAGTATCTTGGACACATGTAAAATTCTCTGTTGTTAGGTCTATCTTTCTTTGTTTGTTACTCATGCTGGATCTTCATCAGTGTATGCTTCAGGATATTCTCCATCTAAACCTGCTTTTGTTTCTTTTCTTGCCTAATGCTTGCTGCGGGCCACTTTCCTGATGACCCCATGATTTGGTTTTACCCTTCATCCTTGAGGTGGTGAGAATAATCTGGTTTGGATTAGATTGTGCGGTTGGACTTTTACCTTCTTAGCAGTTGGTAAGTGGTTGTTTTTACGGTTTTGCCCTTACGCATAGTTGTTGGGAATTTAACGCTGAAACCCTAATTGCAACAGAAAC